ACACCTGTCCCCTCACACCTGTTCTCTTTCACACCTGTCCTCTCACACCTGTCCCCTCACACCCGGTCTCTTTCACACCTGTCCCCTCTGACACCTGTCCCCTCACACCTGTTCTCTTTCACACCTGTCCTCTCTTACACCTGTCCTCTCACACCTGTCCCCTCACACCTGGTTTGGGTTTTCTGTAATGCAAACAGCTTCGGTCTGATCCAGCACGTCGTCAGACAGCCGTGAGAGGATCAGACCTGAGTGCAGACTGATTTCCTGCCGATGGACTCGCCGCCGCACTCTTAAATTCTGCCTCTCATTTTATTACAGTGCTCATTGATCAGCGTGTAAACAACCATTGAATGAGGATGTGCGCCGGTTTGATGTAACCGTCTCCTCTCTGAAGCACTGCATGCTGAAATCTCATGGGTGCTAATTATGTGTGCACACAGATTACAAGGATTGCATTTCATACTTGAATAATAACTATTAAAAACGAGTGTTTTCCAATTAATTAAACACACAGTCGTTAAGTAACCTCTGGACATCTGCCCTGCGGGCTGAGCTCATTCGGGAGCTGCTGGAGGAAACAAACGAGCGCTCCTTTCATGTGGAAATCTTCACAAAAGAGTCGTGCCACTGAGAATACGGAGGAAACGCCGCCGCCACACTTCCCTCAGTGTTCGACTTTGTTCGTGCAAATTGTGAACATAACTTTTTGATATGATAAAACAGCAGAACAGTGTCATTCCAGGGGCGGGCCTGCTGGGGGGCTCGCCGTGGAGATGATGAAAGAGCTTTTCCGAGTCATTACTCCATCCAGCAGGAAGCCCTCGGTGGGCTCGCCCTCCTGAGCATCATCAGCACCCGAGGAGGAGGCGGAGGAGGAGAGGCGCGCACCTCGGCCGGTGCAGAGGGCTTTAATGAAAGATGCTTAAAAAAGCATGAAAACGTCTCTGTTAAACTGCTCAGCCTCTGCAGAGGATCAGCCGACTCGCGTTGTTTCCCCCTCAGTGCAGCCGGAGAGAGGCTGCTCACTTTACCCAGGATTCACTGCAGCAAATCAATATTCGTTTAGCATCGCATCATCGCAGACTCAAATCGAGCCGTCTCACTCAGACCGTCACCTAAAGCAGGAGGAGGGATTAAAAACATCTCAGACTAAAGCCAGGCCCAGACTTAATAAAATGAAAATGGAGTCTAGACTAAACTTAATTCGGGAAACAAAGGCCGAGGTGACTCTGCCTAACATTTCAGATCCTGCACTACGCTGACATCCATCAGTCACATGATCAAAAACACGGGAATATCGATGACTTAGAGGTAGAAGAACGTGCAGCATGAGGATCTGAGCTGAATCAGACTGTATACCAAAGATGGAAGGAGCCCCCGTGACATCATTTCGAAGTCGATTTTGAAACCTTAACATTCGTGTTTCGTAACCTCCATCTTTGTTCACTTTACCAAAGTTCAAACTAAATAAAGCTGCAGTTCCTGTGATGTCCAGCAGAGGCAACAGTAAGTCCGTCCCCATAGACTCCACGTTAAATAAACATGTTTACATCCTGATACACAAACTGTTTGGTCTCTTTAGCTGATTTAGAGTCTTTGTTTTTACCTGTCCTGTTCCTCTTTGGGTCACAGCTGTCCATCTTTTAAATAAAGTTTATGCAAACTTACAGTAAAATGTCATTGAAAAGTCCCATGATGCTTTGTAATCTTCATTTATTTACTATAACAAAAGGCTTACAGGGAATTAAAATGAAATATTTGTAGCATTTACAGGAATGTCTAACTAGTAGTAGTAACTATTGTTTACATCCCAAAGTATGATGGGAAACGTATTTCCAAACAGGATGATGTTTGTGAGAGAGAACCTGTGACGGCGTGAAATGGCCTGTGGAGCGTTGGGATCAACGGCAGTTAATGCACCGAACTCGGCTTCCTCGCTGTGCTCCTACCTGCAAACGTGGAAATTCCTGCAGCCTCGTTCTGAAAATCCGTGGACGTGGCCATTAGAGGTGGACTTCAGCTGGTTTCACCGAAAAGCAGCGACCGGACTTCCACTGACGCGGGAAGTGTTCGCCTTGCTGGCACTCTGCTAATTATAGTCCCCACTAATCAGATTAGGCGGAGGCGGTGTGGGCTTAGATCCTCAAAGTTCACTGAGCTGCTCTCAGGACACTCAGCATCAGCCACAGGTGTCCACGCTCTCCCACACCCACACCAATCAGTCAGCAGATTGATCGCCACCAAGTTCATAATTCAACACCGTTCAGCAGAGAGAGCGGGACGGCCGGGTTTGATGTTTCACAGGATTGTACTGCCTGTCACGGCATCTGTCCTGCTCACACCATCACCTGTTACGCATCAGTGGAATCCCGAACACCTGAAGTGACATCACGTCCTGAACGCTTCTTAAGTCACACAATTATAACTGATGACATTTCTACAGGAAGTAATCAATTAAACTGAAAATGAATGAAGGAATGTAACTTTTGTGATACTCAAACCCCGCCCCTCTGATGACTTTTCCTCTGTGTAGAAGTTAAAGTTTTTCCTACTGACCCCTGAGGCTGTTAATTGTGATGTAGCATCTGATACGTCATCTGCTTAAGTTTCAAAACCTCAGCATGAGCGTTTTTTTAAAACCAGAGCTGTTGAACCGCGCACTCATTGGCTAATGACCAGCCAATCACATGTTTTAGCCAATGAGCATAATCCTTCCTCCTGAAACACAGCACGATAACCTCTCTTTGCTATAGTTTGTATGGCAGATGCCAACTTGTCTGCAAACACCTGCCAACTACTAAAAATTGAATTATAATCATTTGCCTTTAAAGCAAAAGTCGTTCAACTCTGAACTCTGAGGGTGAAATATTTCTATTTCCTGTTTGGAGCTCACATTTTCAAGTTTTACTCCCACTCAGCGAGCTCTTGTTGAGCGTTTGCAGACGTATCGTCGTCTTCAGTGCAAACTACAAGCGAACGCAGCAACATGCTAACAACCAACGTGAATGCAGGTCGTATCACGTCCAATCCAATGTGTGCGTGACGTCACATGAGAAACCCCTGCAGAGCTACAGTCACTTTGAAACCACTGCTATCGCCATCTGGTGGCCGGCAGGTGTAATGCAGGTTTAAACCCTCTGCGCTCCGAACACAGATTAACTCATGTTTGTGTCCTGCTGGGAGTTTATTTAAACCAAGAACCTAACCAAGCATTTTTATTGGCTAAACCTAAACCGAAAGTTTTTATTGGCTAAGTCAAACCAAAGGAGCTAAAGAGTGGAGTAGCCAGTTTAACAGTCCTGCGGGTCCCACGTGTTTGTTTGTCACAATCATTTGGAATATTTCATAAACTACATGTTGGTCCACGGCGCACTTTGATGACGTGTTTCGTGCACAAACAGTCAGAAACTCTGCAGGTGTGAGGAACGTGAAGCCTTATTATCCTGGTGCTTTTATTTTGTAGGGTCGCGTTAGTTCCACCTGCTCGCAGAGTGCGCGCGGGCTGAGGGGAGAGGAGAGAGCGAGCAGGAGGAGGTGTGAGCGTGCGGAGGTGGAGCTGAGCCTCCTCTCCGCTCAGTCTGTCTGCGGGTTCGGCGCAGATCGGTGCGCAGAGCCGGAGCGGACAAAGTGCCGCCGCGAGCCTCCTGCGATGCTCCTGGAACTCCCGCTCCTGTCCGCCCGCTCTTCCCTCCTCCGTCCCGCGCTCCGACGCGACTTCTCCCGCGCGTAAAAGTCATGTCGTACCCTCAGGGCTTCCTGTTCCAGCCCCACGCGCCTCTGGCTCTGCACTCCTCCTTCGGCTCCGGCCTCCTCCTGGGAGCGCGCTCCGAGGAGCTCGGCCGTTCCGCGTCCGGCTCCGCCTTCGCTCCGTACTCCGGACCGGCGACCTCCCCCGGCTTCGGCCCCCAGCTGCCGTACGGAGGGGAGCCGCGCGCCGCCGCGGCGCTCAGCTCCTATGTGGTGAGTGCGCGCGGAGGGCTCTGGTTCCGGTCCGTACAATGAAAATATCAGTGCTCTTCAAAAAGTTATTTTTCTCATTTATTTTCAATGATTTTTGAATTTATTATTACATTTATTTAAAATTCATTTTTAATCTGTTTTTTTTTTATCTTTTTTGAAAATCTTATTTATAAGATAAAAAAATAACTTTTAATTATTTGTCATTTATTTTTGAATTAATTATTATTCATATTTATTAATTTAATTTCTAAATTTAGTTTTAATTATTCTTTAATTTATTTTATTTAAAAAAAATGCAAATTATTTTTAATGTTTTTTTTAACATTAATATTTTTAATGTTTTAAACTTATTTTTATTTTTATGTTTATTTTTACTTATTCTTTAATAATTTAAAAATTAAATTATTTTTAAATTATTTTTTAAATGTATTTTAAATTGAAGGAGGAACCTTGTACATTTTTGTGAGGCTGAGATTTTTCCGGTGGATTAAACTGACTGAGCGAGGTCTTTCCTCCGTCTGTGTTTGGGTCTGTAGTTTGAAGCCGTGTGGTCATGTGACCCTCGGGTTAAACTGCGTGGGAACTCGAGCTGACCGCTAACATGATGGTTTCTGTTTCAGAGTCCGGGTTATGACCCGTCCTCGGGCATCTCCGGGTCCTTGGACTACCACCCGTTTGGGGCGCTGGGCCCATATCCGTATGGAGACCCCGCCTACAGGAAGAACGCCACACGGGATGCCACGGCCACGCTGAAGGCCTGGCTTAGCGAGCACCGGAAGAACCCGTACCCCACCAAGGGCGAGAAGATCATGCTGGCCATCATCACGAAGATGACCCTGACGCAGGTGTCCACCTGGTTCGCCAACGCCCGGCGCCGGCTGAAGAAGGAGAACAAGATGACGTGGACGCCACGGAACAGGAGCGAGGACGAGGAAGAGGAGGACAACATCGACCTGGAACGCAACGAAGAAGACGAGGAGCCACTGAAGGCGAGCGGCGAGGAGACGGAGCCGAAGCGTGAGGCTGGTGAGTGAGGGGGGAGGGGTCCATCCATCGATTGATCGATTAATTGATGGGTTTTAAAATGACCTGCACGTGACACGCGTCGGGAACCCGGAGACGTTTGCACAGAGCCGGCGCTCCTCTCCGTCCGTTCTTGTAGGTGATGACATCATCGCAGCAGCTGCTGTGGAAACAGTTTCACGAGGTTTTTATAAAATCGGTGGTTTTAGTTCTGAGTGCGAGCGAGCGGTCCGTCCTGATCAGGTCTGTTTATAGATCAGATTATTGATCAGCTTCAGATTTTCATCAGATCATCGGCTAAAATCAAAGAATGTTCTGGAAGAGCGGCGGGCGCACGGCGAGAGAAACGGGAGCGTGGACGCTTAATGATGCTGAAGCGTGGAGACGGTCGGCGGCGGCGTTCTTCTGATTGATTATTTCTCACTGATGATGTCATTGATCTGGACGAATCAAACACTTTCAGGCTGAACTCTTTTCTTTCTTCTTTAAAGTCGATTCATTGGTCGTGAGAGTCGCTGCTGATTGGCTTTGACCATAAGGCAGATGTGAGGGGGCGGGGTCTAATATGTAGTGCATTTTGTTTGTGTGTGTTTGAATCAAACTCATAACCCTGCACGCTGAACGCTGATGTGTGTTTGCTCTGACCTGTCCCCGCCTCCCCCCAGACTCCCACAGTGTGGCGTTCAGAGAGGACGGCGGCAGCGACGCCGATCGAGGATTCGACGAGCTGGACTTTAAGGACTCCCCCGTGGACCGGAGACCCGCGGACATGTCGACGGACCCTCCTCGGAGCGCTCCCCCGGAGACGCTCAGAGTGCTGGAGGGGGCGCGCACGCCGAGCCCGCGGTCTAAGGAGCGCCCCTGCGGCACCACCCAGGGGCCGAACGTGGCCCCCAAACCCAAACTCTGGTCGCTCGCCGAGATCGCCACGTCTTCGGACAAAAGCAAAGGATGTAGTGACTCACAGAGCGTGGGGGCGGGGCAGCAACGGACCCCGTTCCCCCACGGCCCCGCCTTGCCCCGACACTTCTATTACGCCTCCCCCTTCATCCCCGGATACTCCGCCTACGGCCCCCCGGGGCCCCTGCACG